AAGAGGACCTGTCATCTACACCCCACAGTGCACACGGCCATCGGCCCTTCTGCTGCCTGGGCACCCCCACGCATATGGAAGAGAAATATATTTTAAAATATTTTTCCTAAATATATTGACATATATTTGAAATGCTGCAATTCTGGCGATATTCAATATATTTTAAAATATATTTCAATATATATATATATATATTGCATGTTGAAATGTGTTTTTATTGCAAAATATATGAAAAATATATTTCAAATTTACTGTATGTCTTTAAAAATACAAATCTACATTTGTGGAATGCATTTACAAATATATGTAAAAATATATGTTAAAATGAATTTATATGTTAAAATCTGAAAAATATACAAAATATATGAAAAATATTTTTGAAAAAATATATATTTTTAAATGTAGTCTTAAGATTTTTTTTAACATATAAAAAAGTCATTGTAATATATATTTTTACATATATTTGTATTTTAAAGACATACGGTATATTTGAAATATATTTTTAAAAATATTTTTCATATAATTTGTAATAATGTGTGTGTATATATATATATATTTGAAATATATTGAATACGGCCAAAATTGGAGCATTTCAAATATTTGTCAATATTTTTGGGAAGAATATTTTAAAAATATATTTTAAATATATTTTTCTTCCATGTGGGCAGCTGGGGATACGTCAAGAGGACCTGTCATCTACACCCCACAGTGCACAAGGCCATCGGCCCTTCTGCTGCCTGGGCACATTATTTCATAGTTATTAAAATATTAAACATACGCAGGCCACCTGGACGCAGGGCGTTTGTTCATCTCTCCTAGACTCGTTTCTTCCTGGCAATGTTTAGGCGCGTCAAGCGCTCGGGCGTTAATTCACTTCATTAGCCAGAATAATAATGTACTTCGGACACTGAAATGAATGCATGCTCAAGCCCTTGGATGAGACTTTGGCTTTGATCAGTAATAATAGACAACTTTTGCACAACCGTTGCATGCATAACACGGAGGTGCGACTTTCATGTGACTTCTGAGGGTTTACATTGCAGTCTATGGCACTTGAGTTGCATGAAAGTCAGCCCAATGTAATGCAGGAACCTTTTTAAAGTCGCTGCAACTTTAAGTTGCACATATTTGAACGGCTGTCATTGAAAAACATAGGGCGCAACTTGTCAAGCGACTTTAGTGTCCAAAGTCGCATGTCAAGTCACACAAGTGTGAATGAAGCCATAGGCTGGGCTTATACTGCTGCACTGAAAAATGAGTGTTATGAGCGTTGGTGTGTTGTGTTGCCGCTGATTCTTATAGGCACCCCCAATGCAGCTTGCTAACACCCCACCGTTGCGGTGCATCGCACTACTGTGGGTTTTGGGCTCTTTCAGAAGGGTGCAGTGAAAACAGGAGGCTGAACCATGTTTTTACCGCCCCCTGGAATACGAACAATACAGCTGTAGAGGAGTGTAAACATGCTGCAACTGCAATGCTTTGCATCCTGAGTTACAAATGCAGCACTCGTGAAGCAGAGTATGACAACGCCTGGCAGGCCCACCCACAGCTTAATCGGGCCACACTGCAACTGATTGCAGCATTGGTGGTGTGACATTACAGGGATAAATCAGGTGGTGAGAAAGCGATATAACACCTCCTTAACGCTTGTCAAATGCCCTCTGAAAAGCATTCCCAATGTGGATCTCTCTTCAGAGAGCACTGCAAATGTGAACAGTGGCATCACCCTGTGGTAAAACAAGGTATGCCTCCATTGCTCTAGAATCCAGTGGCGGCGTACTTTACACCACTGCATCCGACGCTTTGGATTGCACTTGGTGATGTAAGGCCTGGATGCAGCTGCTCGGCCATGGAAACCCATTCCATGAATCTCTCTACACACTGTTGTTGTGCTCATCTGAAGGTGTCCATGTGGGCAGACGATTTTTGTGTTGCCTAGGGCAGCACAGAACCTAAATACACCACTGCTTGTAGGTCTAAGGTGGCGCACAGTAAGACCCAAGAATAAAAATAATACATTCTTTTGGACCCCTGTCCTCAGCTGCTGGGAATTAAAGTCCACCCTTCAGTGCAGGACTTCAGTTCACAATCTAAAAAGACTCCGCGAGAACTTACTATCAGCCTGTTTATGAGGACTTGGCCGGTGTTCTCCTTTAATGCCCTGTTCACGCTCTGTAGCCGCCCTCCAGAGACATGGACGCAGGTGCAGCTGAATCACTCCCTATGATCAGCCCATTAATCTGGAGGTGAACAGAGCTTCAGCAACCTAATGGCCATTAGAGTTCATTCATCTCCACCTATATTTATTTCATATACGCCGACTCCCCTCCACCCACCGCCTGTCACATCCCTCAATTAGTCCTCATTACCATGCACTATTACCGCGTATCATGCGTGCCCGGGGCCATTAGGCTGAAAGAGAAGCAACTGTCAGCAAAGGCCACAACATTATACCGGCAACAAACGGAGCCTTCCTCTGCATAGGAAGCATCATCACCAGGGTCACTCATTGAAGTCTATAGAAGCTGAGCGCTAGGCAGATATAAAAGTCTATTGCCGCACTGTGCTTATTAACCACTTCCAGTCCGGACACTTTCACCCCCTTCCTGTCCAGGGCAATTTTCAGCTTTCAGCGCTATCACACTTTGAATGACAATTGCGCGGTCATGCAACACTGTACCCAAATGAATTTTTTACCATTTTTTTGAGACAGATAAAGCTTTATTTTGGTGGTATTTATTCACCGCTGGGATTTTTATTTTTTTTTGCTATGTAAATTAAAAACGTAAAAAATTTTGAAAAAAAGTGTTTTTTTTATAAAATTTTGCAAATAAATAATATTTCATCATAAATCTTGGCCATAATTTATTCCGTTATCATTTTAGTAAAAAAAAAAAATCCAAATTAGTTTATAACCAAAAATTATAATTTTTAAACATTTTTTTTTACATTTTTATTTTATTTTTTTATATTATTATTTTTTTTTATTTTTTACATACTGTCACCCTAGCAGTACAGTGTCACCATGGTGACACTGTACTACTTGTGGGGGGTGATGAAGATTTTTTTTTTTTTTTTTTTACACTGATTGCTTTTACACCCATATAGGGTGTAAAAGCAATCATTTCTCCTTCTCTCTGTCTGCATTCTTGCAGCCATTGAGAAGTACTGAGTGAGCTGTGATTGGTCACAGCTTGTCACATGGTACAAGGCTGTTGTGAATAGCCTTGTACCATGTGACCTCTGTGATCATTCACAGATTTCACACATAGTTAGCAATGATGTCACAAGTGACATCTTGCTTACTACTTTGCATGTGATCACTGATTGGCCAATCAGTGATCACATGACCGGGACCTCGTACAGAGGTCCCGTCCGAGGATCGGTATTTAACTGTGTCCGGAGGACACAGCGGGCACCGGATCGCGGTGCTGCGTGCTCCCAGGGAGCGCACACAAGCAGAGTGCGGGGAGGCCGTTTATAAACGGCCACCCGACCCTGCAGTGCCACCGTCCGGTCGTTTATATGCAACGGCCAGTCGGGAAGTGGTTAATACATCATTAAATCTGTTGTTTCTTTTATCTGCAAGTAGTGTAAGTACTGGAGCGTGACTATCAGCCTCTTGCAGTTCCCATACAACAGAGTGTTAGAGCCAATCAATACATGTACCGACAAGAAGTGTGCTGATAGGAGGAGAGAGCAGAGTGACAGAAAGATAAGCTCACCACTGTGATGTCCAATCATCGGCTTGGGGGCGGGTCCATGACAGCCTGAGCTGAATGATGCAGGCTGTCATCAATCCCAGGAGACTGAGGGCATCTATTGGTGGAAAGGAAGTACTGCAGGGGACAGCTCCTGTATGAAGGGGAGTATTGCAGCAAAAGCTTCTCTCTCTTTTTTTTTTTTAGTCTATTCATTCTGTATTGAATCAGGAAAGCCTCTGTAGTTGTTGGCGAAACTAAAAATGATTGTACCATGTATGGTCAACTTAGAGAGAACCTGCTGTATACTAGGAGAATGGGGAGGCTGCAAATGTCGACCCCACTTTTGGAAAAGGTAGTTTGCCTGGCTTTCATACTTATCCAATGGCTTTAATCATTTCTGAGTCATAACTTGTCCCCCTGGCTGTCCCCAGGTCTGTGAAGGCAGAGACAGCCAGGCAGCGAGTATTTTCTGAAGAAGGTTAGCAATGGCAGCCCCATATTTCTGCTAGTGGATGGGGTCAGCAGGAGAGACCGAAGACTAGGCTCACACTAGGACTGCATGGCAGGAAAGAGTCCAAATTTCTAAACATGCACAGAAACAAGCTGCCGTTCAGCAGACGCGCAGCAGTAACATTCATTTTTAATGGCTCCTCCATGTATCTGCTAATGCACACGTTTTCATGCAATCCAAGCGGCATGCAGTTAGGTGCGGTGCATTTCTGGAAAAGGGTCAGGATGTTTCTCACATATAGGGCAGCCCATTGAAATGGCAACTCACTCAGTCGCACCTGCAGGTGTGAACCAGGCCTAACTGCCTACTGCCCCTGCTTACTGCCTCTGCCTACTGCCTCTGCTTACTGTCTCCTGGGAGAGCAGATATAGTGAATGCAGGGTCCGGGGAGACCGGATATAGTGAATGCAGGGTCCGGGGAGACCGGATATAGTGAATGCAGGGTCTGGGGAGACCGGATATAGTGAATGCAGGGTCCGGGGAGACCGGATATAGTGAATGCAGGGTCCGGGCAGACCAGATATAGTGAATGCAGGGTCCTGGGAGACCAGATATAGTGAATGCAGGGTCTGGGGAGACCGGATATAGTGAATGCAGGGTCTGGGGAGACCGGATATAGTGAATGCAGGGTCTGGGGAGACCGGATATAGTGAATGCAGGGTCTGGGGAGACCGGATATAGTGAATGCAGGGTCCGGGGAGACCGGATATAGTGAATGCAGGGTCCGGGCAGACCAGATATAGTGAATGCAGGGTCCTGGGAGACCAGATATAGTGAATGCAGGGTCTGGGGAGACCGGATATAGTGAATGCAGGGTCTGGGGAGAGCAGATATAGTGAATGCAGGGTCTGGGGAGAGCAGATATAGTGAATGCAGGGTCTGGGGAGACCAGATATAGTGAATGCAGGGTCCGGGGAGACCAGATATAGTGAATGCGGGGTCCTGGGAGACCAGATATAGTGAATGCAGGGTCCGGGAGAGAGCAGATATAGTGAATGCAGGGTCTGGGGAGACCAGATATAGTGAATGCAGGGTCCGGGGAGACCAGATATAGTGAATGCAGGGTCCGGGGGGAGACCAGATATAGTGAATGCAGGGTCCCGGGAGACCAGATATAGTGAATGCAGGGTCCGGGGAGACCAGATATAGTGAATGCAGGGTCCGGGGTTTAGTAACACTTGAAGCCAATGAATATACAACATGCATTATGTTTTTGTGAACTAGGTTATGCTGTGCCCTCCACCAGCCTTTGGCGCTGTGCCTGCACTGCACAGGTTAATTGCTCATATTTGTCTGGGGGAACAAAAAATAATGTATTTCCCCGATCCTCTGCTCAGCTAGACCAATCCCCGCAGAGTTTGCACCATCACACTCCACCTGTCTAGGGTCCTGATGTCATCAAGACCAATGCAGGGTCCATAGTCCTGCTCTGGACGAGAGGATGCCAAGGGACAGTCTACCGCTGGATTATGGGGGAGCGCCACCTGCCAGAGGAGTGGAGGATCGGGTAAGTAGAACAGTTTTATATCCCAGTCCTAGACAAAATGAGCTATCAACCCTCACACTGTGGACACAGCCCTACTGCAAAGGATCATTCTTCATTTCCCGGAGTTGGGCTTTAATTATATCTAGTAAATCCACATGGGAACTAAAAAAGTGTTTTTGAAAATATGCCCGGAGTTCCGCTATAAAGTAGTTTGTTTAAACGTGAGATGCTTCTGTCATATTGGGAAGCGGAGCTGAAATTACTATGCAAATGGATTCTGCTGATGTACGAGGGAAGACGCATTGCTTGTAGACATTATGGTACTCCCGCTAGAACTAGCAGACATCTACCTGCCTCCCAGCTAAGAACAAGAGAATACATTGAGCGGGAGAGAGCGTCAGTGAAAAGTGCAGAGAGCATTTATCATCGGCATCAATTCCATGTTCTACAGAGGGAAGGAAACACAGCCGACATCCCCCAACCCTCTCCGCAGACAGGAAATACACAAAGTAATACAGCTCTGTAATCGCTATCACATCATCAGTTTATCAGTGTAAGTGCCTGGATTGGACCCAGTATCACCCTCTTGCTGTTCCTGTGCAGCAAGGCTGGAGATTCAGAGGAAGAAGCAGTGCTGAGAAGAAGCATGCTGATAGGAGGAGAGAGCAGAGAGACTGGCTCATCAGTGTGCTGCTAATTCTTTCACTGTCCAGTCATAAACTGGGGGTGGGTCCAGGAGGACCTGGCCCCAGAGGAATGATGCTGGTCATTGTTACTGAGGACATCTAGTTGCAAAGAAATAGGAAAAGTATTTATTGCTATGGCAGGGGAAATCTCTGAAAGAATGGCTTTTCTTATCTAAACCTTTGAACCAAAGAGTCATCATGATAATAAAAACACACAATAACATTATAAAAAATATGTTTCCAGCCAGGTAAATAGTATGTACAGGTCTAAGCTCCTTGTCATGTTTACCTGTCTATTCTTAGGTGCCCTGCTGTAAAAAAAAACTGTTTTTCATAGAGTTTAATATCACAAACTGAACTTTATTCTAACAAATGAATAGTGTCTCCTCCCCACAACTGTAATGCTGGCCATAGACAGGCCAAAAAAAAAAAATCGGCCGATTTTTGCACCGTTAGTGGGCTAATTGGTTGGTCGTTTTTTTGGGGTTTCTGCACATTTTTTTTATCGGGCATGTTGGAAAATTCACGGCTGATTTTGACGATCGGCCGACTTTTCCATTTAAAATATAATAGCGGACTGGAATTCTTCTTCTTCTCCTTCTTCCTGTCACATTGTATGGTGTGCTCCCCTGTCTCTGCAAGGTACAGAAGTTATGGGGTTAATGCCGGCCATAGACGGGAAGAAAATCAGCCGATTTTTTTTTTAACGTTGGTGGTAACGTCGGCCGATCGAACAACCAATTTTTCTTTTTTTTTTTTTTAAATCGACCGATGTTCGACCCGTCTATGGCCTGCTTAAGCCTTTGAACCAAAGAGTCATCATGATAATAAAAACACACAAAAACTTTTTGAAAAATATGTTTTTAGCCAGGTAAATCGTATGTACAGCTCTAGGCTCCTTTTCATGTTTACCTGTCTATTCTTAGCTGCCCTGCTGTAAAAAAAAACTGTTTTTCATAGAGTTTAATATCACAAGCTGAACTTTATTCTAACAAATGAATAGTGTCTCCTCCCCACTACTGTAATGCCGGCCATAGACAGGCCGAAAAAAAAAAATCGGCTGATTTTCGCACTGTTAGTGGGCTAATTGGTTGGCCGTTTTTCGTGGTTTTTGCACATTTTTTTTATTGGGCATGTTGGAAAATTCACGTAAATCGTATGTACAGCTCTAGGCTCCTTTTCATGTTTACCTGTCTATTCTTAGCTGCCCTGCTGTAAAAAAAAAACTGTTTTTCATAGAGTTTAATATCACAAGCTGAACTTTATTCTAACAAATGAATAGTGTCTCCTCCCCACTACTGTAATGCCGGCCATAGACAGGCCGAAAAAAAAAAATCGGCTGATTTTCGCACTGTTAGTGGGCTAATTGGTTGGCCGTTTTTCGTGGTTTTTGCACATTTTTTTTATTGGGCATGTTGGAAAATTCACGTCCGATTTTGATGATCGGCCGATTTTTCTGGCAATGATGGGCAAATCGGCCAATCGTTTTACCAATAAAAATCTGCGCATGAGCCGTGACCTGCAAGAAGAAGAAGAAAAAGAAGAATTCCAGTCCGCTATTATATTTTATATGAAAAAGTCTTGCGGTTGCAATAAATGTATCCATTTGTATCCAAATAAAAATATCTGTATCCAAATAAAAAGATTGTAATACATTATTTGGATTACAATGTTTTTATCTGGATACAAATGGATACATTTGTTGCAACCGCAAGACTTTTTCATATAAAATATAATAGCGGACTGGAATTCTTCTTCTTCTTCTTCTTTTTCTTCGTATTCTTCTGCTTCTTCTTCTTCTTCCTGTCACATTGTATGGTTTGCTCCCCTGTCTCTGCAAGGGACAGAAGTTATGGGGTTAACGCCGGCCATAGACGGGACGAAAATCAGCCGATTTTTTTAACGTTGGTGGTAACGTCGGCCGATCGAACAACCAATTTTTCTTTTCTTTTTTTAATCGACCGATATTCGACCCGTCTATGGCCTGCTTAAGCCTTTGAACCAAAGAGTCATCATGATAATAAAAACACACAAAAACATTATAAAAAATTTTCTAGTCAGGTAAATAGTATATACAGCTCTAGGCTCATTTTCATGTTTACCTGTCTATTCTTAGCTGCCCTGCTGTATAAAAACAAAACTGTTTTTCCTGGAGTTTAATATCACAAGCTGAAGTTTATTCTAACAAATGAATAGTGTCTCCTCCCCACTACTCTAAGACTGAAGGAAATGTCTGAACTGAATGCCTTATCTTATCTAAGCCTTTGAACCAAAGAGTCATCATGATAATAAAAACAAACAATAACATCATAAAAAATATGTTCCTAGTCAGGTAAGTAGTATATACAGCTCTAAGCTCCTTTTCATGTTTACCTGTCTATTCTTAGCTGCCCTGTAGTAAAACTGTTTTTCCTGGAGTTTAATAGCACACAAGCTGAAGTTTACATTCTAACAAATGAATAGTGTCTCCTCCCCACTACTCTAAGACTGAGGAAATCTCTGAACTGAATGCCTTTTCTTATCTAAGCCTTTAACCAAAGAGTCATCATGATAATAAAAACAAACAATAACATCATAAAAAATATGTTCCTAGTCAGGTAAGTAGTATATACAGCTCTAAGCTCCTTTTCATGTTTACCTGTCTATTCTTAGCTGCCCTGTAGTAAAACTGTTTTTCATAGAGTTCAATAGCACATGCTGAACTTTACACTAACAAATGCATAGAGTCTCCTCCCCACTACTCTAAGACTGTGGAGGAAATCTCTGAACTGAATGCCTTTTCTTATCTAAACCTTTAACCAGAGTCATCATGATGATAAAAACACACAATAAACATTATAAAAATATATTTCTAGTCAGGTAAGTAGTATGTACAGGTCTAGGCTCCTTTTCATGTTTACCTGTCTATTCTTAGCTGCCTTGCTGTAAAATAAAACTGTTTTTCATAGAGTTCAATAGCACAAGCTGAACTTTTCACTAACAAATGAATAGTGTCTCCTCCCCACTACTCTAGGACTGAAGGAAATCTCTGAACTGAATGCCTTATCTTATCTAAGCCTTTGAACCAAAGAGTCATCATGATAATAAAAACAAACAATAACATCATAAAAAAATATGTTCCTAGTCAGGTAAGTAGTATGTACAGCTCTAAAAATGCAATTAATGAAATACTTGTGAGCCACTAGAAGTTTTCTTACTTTAAAGCAATAAATTCAGTGTATGAAAATACTAATAATATTGAATTTATGAATAAAGTGAACAACTAATAAATCAATGACGTGCTTGATTCATAAATATTTAGATCGCCAGGTAAAAACTACATCCCCCAGAGGAAGCTACGAGTCCCTGTACGTAACGCGTAGGGGAGGGGCACGTCATCACGCATCCACAGAGGAAACGGCGAGTATAGCGAGTGAACACACACACACCTGCAGGGCTGTTTGCAGGAGGACCTGGATTTATTTACACAAAAGCGTTACTTTTGCTGATACCATGTGAGTGGGAGATCAGAAGCTCATTAAACATTTTTACTCAGGATAAGACACTATGTTTCTTTTTCCCTTTTCTATGTATGTATCGTTCATGGAGGAATAAGCCAAGCAGATAGAGGAGAAAGTCCTAATTGAGAAAAGCTGAATTGAGGAGAAAGGAGAGGAGGAAGGAGAGAGAGGTTCATGTCATGAACATAGACTTACCACGCCCTATCAGATTGATTCACATTACCATCTCAATTCGTATGAACTGAACTATTTTTAATTCATACAAAATTTTCCAGTTTATTTTAATTTATTTATTTTTTATATTTTCATTATATATCATTATATATTTTTTCACTTTTTAATAGTTTTTCAGGCACGCAGGTTTTTATGCATTGATTTACAAATATTAATGAAATTTTTTTGATTCATTCAATCATGGATTCAAGTAGTATGCAATTATGAATTTAAGTATTATGGATATAGATTATTACAGTTATATAT